CCTCCATGCCCTCTGCGAGGTGGCCAGTCGGAGCCTTCCTCCAGAGCTTCGCCTCGACGTCGCCACCCACCGCGTCGAGGACGTCTGCAGCTGGCGACCCCGCGGCCCACTCACCCCCCCGAGGGCCCTCCCAGGCCGCGGGGCCGCACGGCGACCAGCCCGCGCCCAGCAGCGCAAACGCCAGCGGCCCCATGATCCCTCGCCACCGCCGCCGCCGCCCCTTCAGCAGCTGCGCGTAGATCAAGGACCACGCTCTCGCGGCCATCTGGCGGAGGTCGGGGCGGTTCGCACGCAGGTCCAACCAGGCCCGCAGCCGCGCTCTGGGCAGCCGCAGGCCGGTGCCTCCAGCGCCAGGAAGGCGGCCCGCGCGCGGCTTCGCCAGAGCGCCGTCGCATCGGCGGCGGGCCTACGCCACGGCCGCAGGGCGCCTCCCCCCCCATGCGCATTCACACCCACACCGCGCGGCAGTGAGGGCGTCGCCCCCTGGTTCAACAGCCCGACCTTTCTCGCACGGTGAAGGCTGCGAAGCTGTCTCCCGAGCGAATGCATCCATTGGAAAACCACTCTCGTTCTGGCCATGTGTGTGTCGGCCTTCTGCGTGTTTCTGTCGCTGCTCGGTCGACTCCCAGATCGCGGTCCTCTTCCACGCCCTGAAGCTCAACTCCTTGCTTCCGCAGTTCGGTGACTCCCCTCCTGGCCACCCCCGCGCTCGACGCGAACACCCTACTTTTGTCTGCCAGCCCCAGCCCCTCTCCTCGCAATGCATCGCGAAGGGTGGTCACGGCCTCTGGCAGGATCTCCCCGATCGCGGCAGGGGCGCCGTAGACCGAGGTGGTCGCGTCGTCGAAGCGGGCCCTCGGCTGGCAGCGGCCGCGCTGCGCCCCGGCACGGCCGGCGGAGCTGCGGCCGGCTGGCAGCGGCCGCGCGGGCCTCCCGAGCGCTCGGCACGCCGCCGGCCTCGCCGGGTGGCCGACGTGCCGCGGGCCTGCCAGCGTGGAGACGCCCGCCCGGCACTGCTCTGCGTCTCTGGCTCGTCCTCCTCCTCCTCGTCCTCCTCGTCCTCCTCGTCCTCCTCCTCCCCCGCCTCCTCCTCCTCCTCCTCCTCCTCCTCCTCCTCCTCCTCCTCCTCCTCCTCCTCCTCCTCCTCTTCCTCCTCCTCCTCCCCCGCCTCCCAGCCTCCTCCGCCTCCTCCTGGCGGTTTGCGGCGGCCGTCCGCGCGCTCAGCGCGTCGCAGCAGCGCGCGGCGTCGGCGAGGGCGACTCCAGCCGCCGCGCCGAGGGCATGGGCCGCCTCCTCCTGCAGCTCGCGCGCCAGGGCCTCGCGTAGGCAGGATGAGCCACGCAGCGCCGCGCCCCAGTGCCGCGCAGCTCCTCGGACCCAATTGCCAACCTCGGGCTTTGTCAGCAACCGCCAAGCCCTCGCCAGCCATGAGATCAGAGCAATGGCCTTGTCCCCTTGCTTCTTGGGCTCCAGCGTGATGGTTGCCTGGAGCACCCGGCGCGGCCAAGCTATCAGTCGTTCGATTTCTTTGGTCAAATCAACGAACCGTTGTCTGCATTGCGGCGGTAGCCCTCGCACATCTGAAGCAACAAGTCTATCATCGTCCCTGCCCCTGTCAGGCTGAGAGCGGAGGGCGCGGTCGAAAGTGTCAAGTGTCCGGCAAGGGCGGCCGGGCGAATCCAACGTGTGCTGCCGATCTTGAGCCAGGACGGCCATGGCACCTTGCTGGGGCACCTGCTGAGGGGACCAAATATCTTTGAAACTTTGAGACTCGCAATCGATCACCTCTCTGGGAGACGCATTCAGTCCAAGTGCGACCTCCACGGGCACGAGTGGCGAGCCCGCGCGCCCTGTTGCCAGCCCGAACTGACGCCTGCGCCGTGTGCCCTGCACGTGGGATTCATACCTCTGGTGGGCAGTGACCGGGTTCTCTCCGCAGCCCCCGCCAGCCATTCGGGTCGGGCGAAAGGGGGGGATTGGGAAAGGGGGGGTTACGAAATCTGCTGCATGCAGCTGGTTTCGGCCTCACCGAGGGGCCCATTCCTGGATACATAGCTCCATCCGGCGCCGGGAGGCGCCGGGAAAATCAGCTACGCGAGCTGATTCTTAAACCCCCCCTTTGCTATCCCCCCCTTTCGCCCGACCCGAACGTGGGATTCATACCTCTGGTGGGCAGTGACCGGGTTCTCTCCGCAGCCCCCGCCAGCCGTGCGGCTGCGCATGGCTCGGGGGAGCCCCTGCCGCCCCCCCCGGTCGACCCAGAGGCCCTGGCCCGACAGGAGGAGAAGAAAGAGGAGGAGAATGAGGAGGAGGAGGAGGAGGGAGGAGGAGAGAAGGAGGAGGAGGAGGAGGAGGAGAGAGAGAATGAGGAGGAGGGAGGAGAGGAGGAGGAGGGGAGGAGGAGGAGGAGGAGGAGGAGGAGGAGGAGGAGGATGAGGAGGAGGAGGAGGAGGAGGAGGAGGAGAATAATGAGGAGGAGGAGGAGGAGGAGGAGGAGGAAGATGGGGAGGCGGGGGGGAAGGACGGGAAGGTGGGGTGGGGGGGGGGGCGCACACCTGGCACTGGAGGAAATGTCAGAACTAATGCAGGACAGGTTGGGGAGGAGGTAGGGGTCCGCGGCAGCGGGGGGGGGGCATGAAACGGCGCGTGGCCAACACTCCCTTGTTACGTTGGCGTAGGGCTTGCCCGCGTGCGGACGTGCAGGCCGTGGGTGCTGAGACACCAGCGGTCCTCCGCACCCGCATAGTAAGGATGGGCGACCTTCCCAAGGGTACCCTTGCATACTTGCCCCTTCGGCCCATCCATGGCCGCTTTCGCTGGCCAGCCTCGTTCGAAAAACGTTCACGTGGGCCTCCAAGGCCCTTGCATCCTTACCGCGCACCCTTATGACACTGTCGAGACGCTGAAATAAGGACCGCTTTGGGCTCAGGAGGGGCTCGGGTGTTCGGGCCGTTCCTGAGACTTCTGCCGCGGATCCTGTCTGTGGCCTGGGCCCGCCGTGGCCTGAAAAGCTCCCTCGTTCCTTATTGCCGATGGCTGTACGGGCTGAGTGTAAACGAAGTCGCTGATGCAGATGTTCGCGCTCCAGGCAGGGCAGCGCCTTCGATGGAGGTCGGCGGAGCGCTGGCGGGCACCGGCGGAGGCAAAGAGGGCGGAGGGTCCGCCGGGGGAAGGATGGCGGAAGGTCGGCGGGGCGGCCTTGCGCTCGCTCCGGCATGGCAGGACGAGATCTCTGGGACCCACGACGACGACGACCACCACCACCACCACGACGACGACGGCGACCAACACGACGACGACGACGATGACGACCATCACGACGACGACGACGACGACGACAACGACCACGACGACGACGACGACGACGACGACGCCCACGACGACGACCACGTCAGGGCAAGGGGAGGTACACTGCCACCGTGGGCCCTGACCAGTGATTCTTGAGCAGGCAGGGGGGCGGTGTACGATGTGCAGCCTGGCCGATGCAGCCTGCACGGTTCAGTGCATTTGGGGCCCAGGATGGCATCCAGAAGTGGTGACAGAGTGGGGGACAGATCTCATGGCGGCATCAGACATCGCACGGCTCCAGCTATAGGGCCTTGGGCCCTCCTCCTCCTCCTCCGCCTCCTCCTCCTCCGCCTCCTCCTCCTCCACTTCCTCCTCCTCCTCCTCCTCCTCCTCCTCATCCTCCTTCTCCTCCTCCTCCTCCTCCTCCTTCTCCTCCGCCTCCTCCTCCTGCTCCTCCACCCCCTCCTCCTCCGTCGGATGTATGTTGCCTGTTCGAAGGCCACTCGAGGCCCATCTGGGGCCCCCTAGGGCCGCATGGTGCGCGCGCTGGGGCCTTCTCGGGCTGCCTGCTGGCGCTACGTCTTGTTGGGCCGTCGCGGGGGTCGCTCGGGGCTCTCTTCGGCCGTGCTCGGGGACGTTCGGGCTCCTCTGGATGCTGGCCGAGAGGAATAGTTCAAAGCCATGGCGTGTTGGATCTGGTGGACCCCCAGCGCCCCCCCCTCCTCCTCCTCCTCCTCCTCCTCCTCCTCCTCCTCCTCCTTCCTCCCTTCCTCCTCTCCTCCTCCTCCTCCTCCTCCTCCTCCTCCTCCTCCTCCTCCTCCTCCTCCTCCTCCTCTCCTCTCCTCCTCCTCCTCCTCCTCCTCCTCCTCCCTCTCTCCTCCTCTCCTCCTCCTCCTCCCCTTCCTCCTCCCTCCCTCTCCTCCTCCTCTCCTCCTCCTCCTCCTCCTCCTCCCTCCTCCCTCGTTCTCACCCTGCTTCAAATCAATTGCCCACGCCCGGTGAAGCGCGATGTTCATCATCCGTTGCCACCCGTCGTCCTCGGCCACGGGCGGGTCAAAATGCGCCCCGCATGCAAGCAGACCCTGGCCTCTCCAAACTCGGTGGCCAGCGAGGTGGGGAAGCGAGAAGGAGAAGGCCTTCTCGGAGGGCTCGGAAGTCCCCCAGGCCTTCTGAGAAGGCTTCGAAGCCTTCCCCGAAGACGAAGAAGACTTGTCTGAAGGCTGGAGGGCTTCTAGGGAGCCACGCCGCCTTCTGAGAAGGCCTTCTCCTTCTCATTTCCCCCCCTCGCTCGTCGCCGACTAACGCTCTCCATGGGCCGATTGGCCCGCGGCGCCAGGCCGCACCCCTCTTTATCGAAATGGCCTCTCGCGCGTCTCACGGCGGCATCCCACGCCCCAGGATGGCTTCCAAGACGGCCCCAGACCCAGCCATGAACGGCTCCAAGCTGGCCCAAGATGTTTCCGAGAGTGCCCCAACCCCACGGGCGATCCTGTCGCGCCGCAAGACAGGCCGAAAGCCCCCACACATATCCATGTGTGGTGCAAGAGGCCCCCAGGAAACCCACGGAGACAAGAAGCAAGCCTTGGATCGCCAGTGCTTCAGCTTTTCCCCAAGACGCCCCAGAAGAGCCCCCCAAGAGGGTCCTAACTCACCGATGTCCGATGTGTTTGTTGCTCGCCTTGTCGAGCCTCCAACGCTTCCCCACTCTGGCTCGAGACCCCCGGGGGCTGCCGGCTTTTTGCCGTGCCTGCGCTCCGAGACATGTGCTGGGCGAGCACCCGATCCGTTTTGGTCGCGTTTGCCTGCACAGCGCCGGCCGCGGCGGCGCAGCAGTGGAGCGATTGATTGCTTTGGTTCGTATTCCTCGTCGTCCTCTTCCTGGTTCTTCCTCCTCCTCCTCCTCTTCCTCCTCCTCTCCCTCTCTAAGCTGGACGCCCGAAATAGGTACGGACAAAAATGGGTAGAATGCCCAACAGCAGTTCCTGTTCATTTTGAACAGGACTCGCTGTCGGTGTCGCCGCGGCCTGTGTCCATTTGAGACAGGAGGCCGCCTGCCCAACAGCGGCCGGTGTTGATTTGGGACAGCATTCGTTGTTGGGCAGTGTACCCATTTTTCCCGTGACCATTTCGGGCGTCCAACTCTAAAGAATATGAATACGTATTTAATCTCCCCTTCAGAGTTGATGCAAAAGTAGCCCGCCTCTCTCCGCGCATTTTTGCACACAGGATTCAATTACTTTGTCTTTCCGATTTGTTTTTTCCCATCCGACGTTTTCCCTTCACCTCCGCGTAAGATATTTTGCACATGATGTCCGCTAGTTATGTGTTGCTTTTGCGACTTCCAATCCAAATGTTGCCGGTCCTTCCAGCAAGGCGATTTTGCTTCCGACTCTTTCAACATGGCACTCCCGTCTCATTGTTGGCTCCATTTCCGCGTTCCCGGCCACTCCGTGTCCTCTGCCCTTCTCACTGATGCTACCACTGCAGCTCATGGCGTGCACTGCAGCGTTGTGCCCTGTGCTCCTCTCTGATGCCATGCTTTGCGGCGCAATGCGTTGTGACGTAATGATTCACCACGCCATGCTCCATGTTCTGACATGCTACGCTCTGCCGTGTTATTCTACGCCATTTTATGCCGTGCTCTACCATGCATCGCGTACCCTTTCGGGATCAGTGTCCTGGTCTACATCCGACTGCGCGAATAGAGAAGGTTTCCACGCTCTGGTAAGGGATGGGAGCGAGCGGTAGGGCGTCAGATATGACGCGAGCGCACCTAACTTGTCTTCTCCCTCTCGTTCTTCCTCTTCAAACGACAAGCTGCACGATCGAAGTGGGTACGGAACTACTGGGGCCGAAGACCGACAGGAGACATTGCCCAATCTGGAAAAGAGATCTCGTCCTCTACCTTTCTCTTCTCCCTCCTACTTCTCCGTGGTGTTCTTCCCCCACGGACGGGCAAAGGGGCGAAGTGGCAGTTCGGACCCCACTACATGGGAACTCTTGTAAACCAGGACATTGGCGCGCCCGAGAAAATCGCAGCAGTGGATCGAAATATTCTCCATTGCCCGTTCTCTCCATCGTGGAAGTTGCGAAGTCCTGGTTAGCAATGTCTTGGTTCACCGGGCCTTGAGGAGCAGAAGGCGGAGCAGCAGGCGAGGTCGCACACTGCATGGTGCCTGGCGCCATGCTTCATCCGCGTAACCGCGATAGGTCTCGAGGCTCCCCCCAATCGACGAAAGACATGGATTATCGTTTCGACGCCCTTCTTGACGGACTGAGGCCCCACCAATAGTGGAACATTGTTATTTCTCCGCAGCGCACGCCGCGCAATAACGACGACGACGACGACGACGACGACGACGACGACGACGACGACGACGACGACGACGACGGCGACGACGACGACGACGACGACGACGACGACGACGACGACTACGACTACGATTACGATTACCATTGCGACTGCGACCACGATACGATTATTTGTATTGCAATCTTCTTAAAAACGTGCTCAACATTCCCCTGTCGCGCAGGGTCGCCCAGGGAGCATCCTTCGCGCTTCGACACAGACAGCGGCCGCCTCACGCAGTTACTCCTCTCCAACTAAGCGACAACCTCGGCACCCAGCAGGGATAGTCATGATCGCCGCAGAGATACGCGCAGCGCAGCCGCACTCCACAACGATTGACCGCATGTATGCCGTAGCCTCAAGAAACAGGCAGCAAGCTCCGACGGTGACTACACTACTACCCGACTGCTTGGCCGCCCCGACTACGGAGAGCATTGCATTTTCCAGCCACGAGAGAAGAGACATCAGGAACGATGTACGTGCACATCCCCAACACCGCGAAGCACCAATTGCGGTAACACCAACGACACCAGCGACACCGACGCATGCAGCGAACCTCTTGCCGCGCTACAACGCTCCACATGGTGGGTGGGAATCGGGTTCTCTCCGCTGCCCTCGCCATACAGGTGCGCATGCCTCGCGGGCACCCCAGCCGCCAGCCGCCCCCCTTGTCGATCCAGGGGCCCCTGGCTCCACCTGGGGAGGAGCTGGAGGGGGAATCTGGGGGTCAAGCAAACCTAGAACTGGAGTCAATGTCAGAACTGATGACGTGCTCTAAGACAGGGTTGGGAGGAGGAAGGGGTCCGCGGGTGTGTGTGTGTGTGTGACATGAAACGGTTGGTGGTCAGCTCTCCCTTTGCTACGTTTGTATAGGGCTTGCCTTCGTGCGGACGTGCAGGCTAAGGGTGGAAGGTGCTCACGAACAGCGGCTCCTCAAGTCCGCTGGGAGGGACCCGTGAGGTCTGGATGGTCGAGGCGCCAATTCTGCGAAGGGGGGAGTGAGCCGGAAGAGGCGGATAATTCAGGAACGAAGAGCGGCATGAACATAAGCGGTCGGAGGTCCGCGCAGATGTCTCCGATTGGCGCTGGACCCCCGCCCCTGGCGCCCGGAGCGCGCCAGCGGCTGCTAGAGTCGGGGGTGGACAGAACCCCCAATAGTGACACGTCGATTAGTGAATTGTCAGTTTTCGATTCTCGAGAGGGCGCAGTGGCCGCTATTTTCCAGGCTTGCGCCCACCAGGTTTGGGCCTCAGGTCGTTTTCACTGAACCACGTTTTACTAAAGGGGGGTCTGTCCATCCCCGATAGAGGCGCCGCCGAGGGGGCCCAGCTCCGATCCAAGAGAACCGCGCGGACCTCCGAAAATTTGTATGTACGCAGTGTGTTTCATGCCATTGTTACTTCCTCCAGGATGAAGAAGAAGACCTGATACAGTAGCGAACCGCCGTCGTCGTCGTCGTCGCAAGCATGGCCGACGTCGTCAGACTCATCCTCGTCGCCGTCGTCGTCGTCGTGTGCCTCTCCCCGCGGCCAGGACCACCCTGGGCACTGGCGGCTGCCGCTCGCAGGGCGGCCTGACGCGGAAGCTGCGCGTGCAGCGGGGCCTCGCCGACCTCGCGGACTGCAGACAGGCCCTCGAGAGACAAAAAGCGTCCTCAGGGACAGCGTTAGGATTGAGTCGGGCGTGTCCCTCTACAGGAGGAATATTCAGAAATAGTACATAGTATTGGGACGATGCTTTGACTATTTTTGAGTATGGGTTGAACATGTGTTGACCATGTTTTATTGTTCGTCCAAAATCCGCCTGTAGGAGGACCTGCCCGATCTAACGTTAGGAAGGGATAGGCTCGGGCGGGGATGCATCGAGCCCCAATCGCCCTTTCATCGCTAGTAGGGGCCCGAGTCGTCTTAGTTGTTCGTTTGGGAACCCTTCCTCAGGCCCAGCAACGCTCAGGAGTGTGGCTGGCACTGCGCCCATTGTGCCCTTCTGTGAGCAGGCCGCTTCCCAGGGACACCTCCTGCTCCTCCTCCTCCTCCTCCTCCTCCTCCTCCTCATCCTCCTCATCCTCCTCATCCTCCTCCTCCGTAGCCATTTTGGCTCAAGCGGGCATCCTCACTCTCGAGGCTTTCTGGTGCGTCAGGCGCCAGCGGACATACCTTTTACCCAGTAATTCCTAACCCTTAGATAAAACGAAACGCACAGTGCACGCGCGATGGCCGCCCTCGGTCGTGGCGGTGCTGATTTCGCTGCTGTCTCTGACGAGGAAGCGGCTCGCGACCCCAACGAGAAGAGCCGCAGCGGGGAACGCGCCCGAGGCCAGCGGCCCCGCGCTGAGGCCAAACAGGATCCTCTGGCCGAGCGGGATCCTTGGAGCGGAATGGCTGCCTAGCGTGGCCGGCCCTCCGGGGAGCCCCCTGGCCCTGCCGCGGGAGGGTCCTCAGGGAGCGCTGGCGCTGTGGTTCAGAAGCACATGGACGCCCTCTCGGAGAAAATCCGCGAGTACATGGCTGAGCAGTTTACCACCGCTATGGACTCGGTTCGCGAGGAGCTCGACGCAATGGTCGAAGATAAACTTGCTCCCCAAGCTGCCAGGCTCGAGGAACATGCTACTGAGATTGCTCAGATCAAGGAAAAGAGCGCTAACCTGGAGAAGGAGCAAGCGGGGCTGCAGGCCGCGGTCAAGAAGCTGCAGACCACGCTGGCGGTGGCGGAGGCGCAGGTTGCGGCGCCGCTGGACCCAGCACGCCTCGTCGATTGGAACAGGACGGCTGACCCTGGCCTCTCACCAGGAGAGGTCAAGTCCGCCATTTCGCAATGGCTCCAGGCCGCCAAGGTCACCGAGGACCAGGTCACGCTCCTCGGCGACTTCCCGTCGAAACGCTTCCACCTCCACTGCCCTGGTGGCGCTGCGGGCGTTGCCCGCGCTGGGGCACTCCAGGCTGCGCTCAAGCTACCAGGCGGACAATGGCGTCGATTTGACGTGCTCTCGGTCAACGGCCAGCGCGTCACCATGTACACGAATGCCGACAAGAGCGCGAAGGACATCCGTAAGGAGGTGCAGACGAAGAAACTGTTGGGCCTCATCAGGGCTGCGGTGCCCAGCAAGGACTGCTGGGCGCGCCGGCCGAAGGGCCTTGTCTACGTGGACTCTTTGCCGGTCGTGGAGGTGCAGGTGCGTGGCCCCGACGAGGCCTCCCGACTGGCCTGGGACGGGTCCGCCACCGCCCGACTCGGCATCGACAAGCAAGCCATCACGAACCAGTTCCAGGCACTCTGGCGCGAGGTCGACACCTCTGGATGGGACTCTTCCTAGCCTCCGGTGGGCTCCGTGGGAGGTCGGGGCCGCTACCCGTGGGCTCTCGGTGGTGACGTGGAACGCTCGCGGCCTGCTCCTCCGTGCCGCCGCCAGGAGGCGGCGGAAAGTGAACATGGTCGTAGAGCACCTTCGCCAGCGTTCCATTGTGCTGGTCCAGGAAGTCCACGGCTTCACCGAGACGCTCCAGAACTACCTCAACCAGTACAGCATCCACTACAAGATGTATAGCTCTACGACCGGTCGTCCGGGGGCTGGCGGGATCGCAATTTTGATCCCTTGGCACGACCATCACACTATTGCCGCTGCTGGCACGGCGGCTCTCCCTCAGATCCAGAGCCGCGAGTTGGAGCCAGGGCGCGCTGCCGTTACGACGATCACCAACCCCAAAACGCAATGCGCCATTAAAATCATGAACATCCACAATTATGACCTCACCGAGCTTGGGAAGGATCGCATTCGGCGAGCGTGGCGGGATGCTGCGCACTGGGCGCATGAGGACCACATGAAGAGGACCTTCGTTGCAGCTGGCGATTTAAACATGACCGATGTGCCAGCGGAGTCTCTTTTGTACCCTCGGCCGCGGCAGGCCCAACGGTCTGACGCCAGCAGGGCCAATCGAGCCGAACCACTCTGGAGAGATATGTTTGCCAATCCCAACATGCTTGAGGTGTGCTCGCCGCTCCCCACCCACTTCACGAAGGACTCGGGGGCGCTGCGCACGATTGATCGGATCTTCGTCTCGCTCGCATCGTCTTTCGCGCTGGAGACCGAGTGCGACCTCCAGCTGGCGCACGACGCCGCGACGCTGGACGCGCAGAACCTCAGCGACCACGCAATCCTCAAGCTTCGCATGAAGACCAGGCAGGCCACGCCCAAGGGCGAGAGGAAAATCCCAGCTTTCATTTTCAAGAGCCCTGAGTACAAGCGGATCCTCGCCAACTGCCTTGATGGTTGTCGCATCGAGTTCAAGCCTGTTTTTGAACAGTGGCGCGACGTCAAGGTCATGATGAAGCTCGCTGCGGAGCTCGCTCGGAACGAGCTGCAGTCCAAGGCGCTGGTGGTCGACAGCGACAGTGGGCGGCACGCGCGACTGTTGACCTTCAACTCGGTCGCCAGAGCCGTCTGGCGGTAAGACGCTCGACTGGCCAGGAGGCTCATGCATGACACGCCCATCGGCGCCGCGGAGCTCGAGCTCGTCGACGGCGCCGTGCAGTTGACGAGGCCTGGCGACTTCCACGCGCACGCGCGGGAGGCGCAAGCGCAAGTCCTGGAACGGGAGACGGCGGCGCTCGTCGACAGTGCCAGTGGGGCACGCCGGCGGACGGCGGAAGTCATGATCAAGCGTGCGCTGCTGTGGGACCCCACCAAGCGCGCATTGGTGCTTTCGGGGATCCGCCACGCGCAGCCTGCCGGGCAGGGAGGCAGCGCAGACGCAGTAGCTAGGGAACCTGAGTCCACGATCGCAGAATTAAAAAAACATTGGCAGCCAGTGTTTACATAATCGCCTGTACAGGAAGATCAGATTGGGCCGTTTCTTGATCGGCACATGCCTCGTTTCGATAATTCGTTCCTCCCTCTTCCCTCCCTCTCCGACTTCCGCCTTGCCTTGAGGCGGTCCCGCGACTCCACGCCAGGGCCCGACAGGCTTCCCGCGCGAGCATGGCGAGCCCACCCTCTTCTAACAGAAGTGCTGCATGGCGTAATGTGTCAGATGGCAGACGGTTCCCCGCCACCTGCCGGGTTTAATTTCTGTCTTCTCATTTTTCTCCCGAAAGGGGAGGAGGTCGCTGATTTGGTGGAGTGCACGCGGACCCCGGGCTGCACCCGCCCATTAGTTTTGAAAACTCAGACAGCAAGGCGGTCGCAGCGGCACTGAATCTTCACATTTCGGGCGTCGTGTCGAAAGACGCCCATGGGGCCCAAAAGGGATTCGTCCGTGGGCGGCGCGTCGGTGAGCATATCATCGCGCTCGACGCTGAATCTAGGCGCGCGGGATACCTTCCTCAGGCTGCCACTCGGCTCCCTGGGTTGCTGAGCTTTGATGTTAAAGCCGCTTTCCCAAGCATGTCTCAAGTCTTCCTCCGCCGTGCTGTCGAACGCTTCGCCCTCCCTGCACCCTATTTGTCGTTGCTGATGAGCTTGCTCATGATACTATTGGGCACGCACGTGCTGGGGAACAGCTGGAGGCTCTCTTCCCGATCACTTCGGGCGTCCCCCAAGGGTGTCCTCTGTCAGGAAGTCTGTGGGCGTTGGCGTTCGACCCCTGGATCCGGTGTTTGTGCGAGGCGTTTCCTACGGAGGACGAGGGGACCCTTGGGGGCTGCGCTGATGATGTAGGTGCGGTCACCATGGATATAAGCAGGACTTCGCACCTTCACCGGACATTCCAAAAGGCTGAGGAGCTCGCTGGTCCCGAATTGCAGCCGCAAAAATGCTGCTTCGTGCCCCTTTGGGCGTACTGCGACGAGACCGTCCGCGAGCAGGCTCGCGCCGCCCTTGCACTGCACGCTCCCGGCTGGGAGAGTTTCAAGATCGAGGGAGCTGCCAAATACCTCGGCGTCATGCTCGGGCCTTCGGCGGACCTTCCGATACAATGGAAGGGCCCTGGACAAAAATGGTGGGGCAGGGTGCGGGAAGTGGCTTTGTCCAGGGCTCCTTTTGAGGCCTCTTTGCGACTTTATCTCACGATTATCCTCCCCTGTCTCTCCTACGTTGCTCAGTTTTCCCCTCCTGACCCCACGGTTTTGGCGAGGGGCCGGCTCTTCACAAACTACTGCGGTTGCCTCCTGATTCGTTCCAGGTCGCCGAGCTGATGGGCGTCGGAAGGTGGTTGCCCAGCGCTGCTCCTATACCCGTCAGCGTGTCTTGCCTTGCCGCTGCGTGGAGAGACAGCCAGTACACGTTTCGGGGGTGGAGGGCTTGGCGGGATCGGCTTCGAGATGCGGCTCACAACCGCGGATTCCTAGTGGATTTTGTTCGCATTGTATGGTCTCCTAGGTTTTGGGTTCGGCGTCAGAGCATTGCCGAATATTATGCCTCCTTCGACTGCCCGCCCAACGATAGTAGGGTTCCGAGGGAGGCGTTTGAGCGGGCGAAGGCCGCTGCACTTGCTCTTGAATGTGATAACGTGCCCCGCTCCGGGAAGACAGGGGTTCGTCCTCAGACGGCCTTCCTCCGCTCGTTATGCTCCTCCGTCTACCCCGACGTGATCCCTGATCTTCTGGAGCGGCGTTTTCGCAAATTGTTCCCCGATCGGCCCCCTTTGGGACGACCAGAGCTCGAAGAACGCTGGGCCAGGCTTCGAGACGTCCTCAAGGCGGCGGCTCCGTCACGGACATGGGCCCATTTCAAAACGCTCGCAGGGGCCTGGATCACGTCAGCCCGCGTGGGGATACTCACGCCTAAGGGTTGCCGGTTCGGGTGCTCTCAGGACTGTCTGGCCATCGAGGTCTGCGCTCCAGATTCGATCGGGCACTATGTATATTGCCCCCGGCTCTCCCACCTTCTAGCTTTCCCTCGCGCCATCATTCCTAATGACCCGGTAGTCCGATTAGGGCCTGGCCCTGCCTCCGCGTACAATGTAGACAGGGAGTACGATCCCATCTCCCTTGAGCGTGCGAACTATTTAACCGCTCTGTCATTCCATATCTACCATAAATACCGTGCTGAGCTTCAGCAACATCCACGTTTACAAGGCACTTACACATCGACATTGCGTGCGAGGCACGCCGCGATTGTCGCTCTTGGCTGATGCTGACGGACGATGTCCCCCCAGGCGACGTGCTCTCCTCATCCTCCTCCTCCTCCTCCTCCTCCTCCTGCTCCTCTTTCTATCCCTCCTCCCCGTCATAGATCCATTCCTCCTCCTCCTCCTCCTCCTGCCCCTCCTCCTTCTCATTATCCTGCTCCTCCTCCGTGTCAAAGAACTACTCATCCCCAAATTTCTTGTCCGAAAGGACGTGCCATGTGATCGGTCGTAGGGCGGAGAAAGGGGGTTAGAAAGGGGGGAAGAGGGTGTTACGGAGCTCTCCATCCCCCTTCCCCGAGTGCAGCAAGCAAGGGGGGCGGGTCGTCGCACCGCCCCCACACACCTGGCGACGACGACGACGACGACGACGACGACGACGCCGACGATGACGATGACGGTGACGGTGACGGTGACGATGACCATAACGACGACCGGCGCGTCGCCGTCGTTGTTATTTTTCTGCATGTTGAGATTAGGGCACGGACTGTCACCGTACCGTTTTGGGACCCCTTCCCTCTTGCCCCCACCTCCATCTCGCTTGTGCGGAAGGGGGGGTGATTAGGGGGGAGAGGGTTGGGAGGGGGAAGGGGGCTGGGGTGGGCGGGTAGTCGTTTCGGAGACCTCCCTCCAGGTATTGATCAGCCAAGCGCCCGTGAACACACATTCCCTCCCTTCTCCCATTTCCCCTTGGCTCGGCAACTGGAGCCAATGCACGATGCAGCGATTTCCAACGTGGCCTCTCCAAGTCGTCCCTCTCACCAGCTTTGGGACCTCTTGAACTACGTGGTGCGATTGCCGCGTCTGTTTCGAGCAACCCGAGTATCACGATGTCATGGGTCAGAAAGCCCCGTACTTGTTCAAATATCCCCAGCTGTCGTTCGCGTGATATCATATGACGAGGCTCCAGCAGATGATGTGGGCAACGCATGCTTCTCTATGCGCCCATTTCGCTCCCAAAGTACGAACACCACTCTCCCAACGCGTCGAGAGGTCGCCAAGGTCCACCTGTCACCAAGGCTGGATTTCACGAGCACGTGCTGGATAGGCATGTGACCCCACAGGCGAAGACGGCTTGGCTAATCTGTTGAGATAGCAGTCGGAAGGGTTTGGGGGCTCAGGGGGAATATTGACTCGACTTCGGTTGGACCCGAGGAGCCAGGTCTTTCGTCGAGGGGAGCTTTCGAGTGCTGCCGTCGGTCCGGAGAAATGTAGCGAGTACGTAGAGCCACCCATGATGATAAGCAAGGAGGGCGAGCAATCCAAGGGCGGACGACCAGACCGCACTGCATGGCCGCATTCGAGGATTTTTCATCATGTAGGCCACTGGAGGAAGACGGGCTGGAAGGAAGTTATGAAAGCGCAGCGCCTCTCAGCAAGCCGTGTGCATCTGCGTTGGAGGCTGTGGCCTTCGTGTTCTTCTCCCCCATGGGATCCCAAACCCTCCGCTGATTCCCCAGTTGCATCCAGTTTGCGAAGCAGGCGCAGTAGGACATACACTTGTTTTATCAAACGAAGGAGGAGCCCCGTGGCAGAGATCAGTGAGACGAGGCGACTGACGAACGAACGACGGAGGGCAGAAGAGGACGTCAGACAGCAAGGTTGGCACGTGCCGCTGATATTTTCAAGATGAGGAAGTGTCCTCTCTTCGTTTTGGCAAGGGTGTTATTCAGCAGGTTCCCCTGGACATGGGCGAGGCTGCGCGCGAATGACTGCCTCAGTGCTTGCGAGATGGTCAGAAATCTAAGTGTAAAGACAAGCGCGAGTGGTGTCAAAGGGTGTGGTCTCCTTGCCGGCGCCGTCCCATATTCGCTTTGCCTCGAGGTTTGTGATGTCGACCCCGAGTGCACGGCCGTGGTCTTTGGCATTTTCGAAGGCTCGACCATTTGCCACATCTTGGCCGGGGGCCCGTACACTCACTCCGACGCCCAGGCCGCCGCCCATCGCCAATGCGAACGTCAACGTTGTCATCATCAACGTCATCATCACAGGTGTCATGATCATCATCATCATCATCATCATCATCATCATCATCATCATCATCATCATCATCATCATCGTCATCAGCAGCAGCAGCATCATCATCATAGTCAGAATCACCATCATCATCACCATCATCAGTATCGCTGTCATAATCACCATGATCATGATCAGCACCATCATCAGCATCATCATACGCTTCATTACCATCATCATCACTCCATGGCATCCGACAATGTGATCTGCAATGCTGCGCGTCCCCAGAGGTTTCGACCCCCTCCTCGGAGCCAGCTCTGCGCCCCGGAGCCGTGCCTGATGGCCTTCGGGCCCGATGGCGGGCCCTGGAAGCCGGAGTCGAGGAACAACGACCGGATCGGGAGCCTTGAGACGGGGGGTCAATGCAAACGGGGGTCCCCAGATGGTCTGGTACCGGAATTTTTTGGTAGCGATTTCGACGCACCCCGAATTTCGGTAGCGACCAGATCTTCGTTTGAGGGCGTTAAAATAGCGGATTTCAGAACGCTCTGATACCGGTATTGGGCGCTACATTTCGGTATTTCGGTAGCGACCGATCTCTGCGGAGCGCTACCGGAAATTTTCGGTAGCGGACCATCAGGGAATGCAAACGGGGGTCAGCCACGGCACGGGATCCTGCAGGATGCTGCGAAGACCCCCTCTGGCTGACCCGGGCTAGCGAGCCGCTCGTGGCCGCGGGGCGGCCGCGCATGACGGTTGACCCGGGTTTGCGGAGCCCTGCGTTGCAGTTTGTTGTTCCTGCATTGCAGTTGTCTGGTTTCCTCCTGACCCGGGTCTGATTGACCCGGGTTGGCAGATCTCCGATGTTTCTTTGCCGGCCCGCCCCGCTGTCCGAACGAGAGTCGCGGCGGCCCGCACTGCCACGCGCCGGCGAACACCGTCGGCGCCGATCTTTCTCTTCGAGTCCTCGCAGGCCTAGAGGTTGACACCAACACCGATTTCGGCGGTGTGCCTCCACCGAGGGTGCCGGACCAGATGCCGTCTGAGGTCTGGGGCCCCGGCTGCCCTCGGGCCCGAGCTCGGGCCTCCAGCGGCCCCTCGGGGCGCTCCGGGCGCCTCCGCCACGCCCTCGGCGAGGCGCAGCCCTCGGCAGAGGTGCCCCGAGGCGGGCCGGCCGCCGAGCAGCGACGCGAGCGTCCGGCGCCCAGGCCGCGGACTTCTCGTGCTCGGTGAAGACGATGTACTGCCGGATGCCCTACCAGCTGTCCGGCTACAGCTTCGACCGGGCGCTGTGCGGCCCCGCGGCCGCGTCGCCGCAGTGCGAGGTCCAGTGCGCGCAGGGCTACGCCGGCTCTCCGGTGGCCTACTGCGTCACAGGCGCCCCGTGGCCCGAAACAGGGACAAGGTCTTCCCTCCAGGAGGAGGAGGAGGAGGAGGAGGAGGAGGAGGAGGAGGCTCGAGGTTCGAGGGCGTTTTCTCTGGTTCTCGGGGGACTTCAAGCCTGGGGATACTTTCCAGCAGCTGCGCCTCACCGAGAGCCTTCCAGGGGTGCCCAGATCGTCCCACACAGCCGCCGGAGAGCCGAGTAAACAGTTTGGACCCGAAAACCCAGGAGAGATGAGGAGCAGGCGAGGCCGAGGATGAAGAAAGCTTGGCACCGAAGGCGACGCCCAGACGGAGTTGCGCGTCTTTGCCGAGCCAGCAAGGTTTTAGACCCCCGGGTTTTTCGGGATTGAGGGTGATGAGGGTGTCGAGGAAGAAGAAGAAGAAGAAGAAGAAGAAGAAGAAAAATAATAATCCCTCCCGTGGCGCGCTCCGCGCGCCAGGGAGGGAGGTCAGCGCCGACCCAAGAACTCCGCCCGGACCTCTGAAGGTTTATGTTTACACGTGTGTTCCTCACTCGAATCCTCTCCCTCCCTCCCCCCTTGACAAATCCCAGCTGGTCTCTCCTTCCTGCGGGGTCTCCCCTGCGTCCGTCCACACACCAGCGAGCTGTGGCCAGCGTTGTGCAGCCGCTGGCCTCCACCCTGCCGTGGTTTGTGTCGGATGTCCAGCCCTGCCTGGATCGCCGGTGGCCACGGGGGCCCCCCGTCGGTCGGTGGGCCGCGCAGGCGGAACCCCCTTTATTTCTCTTCCCCCGGGCACCTGCGGGGCAATGCCCGCGCGTGGAGAGGCCTGGCGAAGGACTCTGGAAGGACCTGGAGAGAGCTTCCGAAGGACCTTCTGGAGAGCTTCCGGGCACGCGTATTGGGGAACGCCTGTAGGAAAGCTCTCCCGGGACAGATTTCCGGCTCCAGCAAGTTGCGCCGAGGCTCCCTGCCCGCCGCCAGAACGAGCTCAGGGGCTACCACTTGACTTATGTCGGGCGTGTCCCCCTAAAGCGGGATCTTCGGCGAAAAATGCAAAAGACCCCCAACATATTCCAAAAAGGCCAGAAAAAATTCAAAAAATGGTCCCCAGACTATGTTTGGACAATTTTTGGATATTCCCCCTGTAGCGGGACAGGCCCGACTCAACACTTGACGATGAACAGGACGTCGGAGGAGCAAGGGCGCCCTCGAGGGCGCGAAGTTATTCGCGCTTCGCGGTTCGGCTCCGATTCCTCCTCATCCTCCTTTATCTCCCCTGGGAGGCGGCGCGAGAGCGCGAAGTTGTTCGCACTTCGCGCCTCGCGCAGCGCGAAGCGCGAAGGTGGGAGCCCTTGTCGGAGGAGGAAAAGATTCAGGAGGGGAAAAAACACACAGACACAATTAATCGTCGACTCCCAGGAAAATATGGGAAAATATGGGAATTGGGCGGGAAGACAAAAACCCAGAAAATATAGGAAAATATGGTGAATCTTTTTATTTGTGTGTATTTATTTGTGTGTCCCAGTTTCCCTTCAAAGATGCCGATGCCGCTGCCCACTCCTCGGCCGTCACGGCGGGAGCCCCCTCGAGATCCTTGCGGGAGCGCGGCCCGGGAGAGGCCCAGGGAGCGGCATCAAGTCGGGCCTGTCCTTTTACAGGAGGAATATTCAAACATAGTTGTTTGAAAAAAATCAAAAACAACAACAACAACAACAACAACAACAACAACAATCACTTTACCCGAACGCTCAGTGTTCTCACCAGTGCCAGGGTTTTCATGCGACGCCAGCCAATACCCCCACTTTGTGGGGGGGCAGTGCAAGCTCTACCAAATATCCACACGACTCTTCGCCACCACCCACACCCAGCTTCCCGCCCTATGACGTTCGGACACTTCACTTCGTGGCCTGCGGACGACCGTGGCTACTACACTGGCGTGGAGTACACACCCACAGAAGTTGTTAGGACAGCGCGCGCGGGTAGAAATTTTGAAAAGTCGTGCAGGTGTTTTTCGAGGACCTACGGTGCGATTCGTGTGATTTTATGATGCGCGGTGCTAAAATTCTTAAGAAGCCCAATGGTTTTTGGAGATTTCGGCGTGCGCGCGCGAAGAAAAAACGAATGTGTCCCGCATGGTATTATTTGACAGGGATGATGGCCCTGGCAGGTGCGCAACCGTTGTCGCAGAAGTTCGAAAAAGTTGCTCGCAAAAGCCCGTTTGACAGAAATGTTTAAAAAGTGTTGGGTTTCCTACGAATCCGCAAGAGCGCGCGGGATGAGATTTTGACATTTTTTGTTGAAAAACCATTGGTTTTTTGATGTTTTTATGTTAAAATCGCTGCGAACACTAAGCTTTTGGAAGGATTTCGTCTTGCGCGCGCGAATGTCCACTTTACCTTATTTTTTGCAAGGGATTCTTGAAATTTGATTATATTAGAACAAGAAATGTCATTTTATAGTGTTTTTTGCAAGGGAAAACGGATTACAACAAAACAACCGGATCTGGACCCCATCCACTTTTCTGAAGCTTTCGCGAAAAAATGATGAAAATGTAGCTGCGGCCTAGGCGCGGCGGGGGGGCCGTGCACCAGGGGCCCCAACAATAATTATTCTTTAGAATTAATAATGTTCAACAACAACAACAACAAAAAACAGGGGGGCATTTCTTCCCTATTCTGGATTCTGTTTTGAACAGGTTTGTTCCACAATCCGCCTGCAGAGGGACATGCCCGGCCTAAGAGCAGCAGCGTCGTTATCTGATGTGCTTCCCCAAGACGGAGGGTTTTTTCGCAGCGTCCGGGCCTCTGAGGGGCCCCGGGGCCGTCGAGGTGCGACTCGGGGTAAAGATTGGCCCCAGGGCGCCGCAGCGGGTTCTCCGTGAGTCGGGCCGAACGAAAGGGGGGGATTGGGAAAGGAGAGGAGGAGGAGAGGAGGAGGAGGAGAGGAGAGGAGGAGGAGGAGGAGGAGGAGGAGGAGAGGAGACGCGGGCCACCGTCTCTTCAAATCGAGGACCCAACACCACAGGACGGTTGGGAAAAACCGGCTCCAAAGGACCACCGACCCTCGGGCCGAACGATAGGGGGGGGGATTGGGAAAGGGGGGGGGTACGAAATCTGCTGCAGGCAGCTGGCTTCGGCCTCGCCGCCGGGCCCATTCCTCGATACATGGGCGCCTCCCGGCGCCGGGAGGCGCTGGGGAAATCAGCTACTCAGAAGGGGAAAAAACACACAGACACAATTAATCGTCGATTCCCCAGAAAATATGGGAAAATATGGGAAGTGGGGGGAAGACAAAAAACCAGAAAATATGAGAAAATATGGGGACCATTTTTATTTGTGTGTATTTATTTGTGTGTCCCAGGGCCCCTTCAGCTACGTGAGCTGATTCTCAAGCCCCCCCTTTGCTATCCCCCCCTTGCGCCCGACCCGAGTGAGATCACCGAGCGCGCTCCACGACTTGTAAAGCGACTACTCGCAAACGTCCCCAAACACACATGTCTCCTTCGATGAGATGTATCGTAGGTCCCCCGCGGCGGATCCAGGCCATTTGCGAGTAGCTACCCTGCGAGTAGTGGAGCGCGTTCGTCTATGAGAGTAGGCCCCAATGCGATTCAGAAGGGGTAGAGAGGCGGATGGTGTTTGGAGGGTGGATCTGGGCGGAGGGGGTTTATGAGGTGGGGGATCTACGTCAGGGTAAGAGGAGAGCCAAGAGCTTGGGAGGAGGGGCGCAGTGGAGAAGGGCACAGATAGGCAAAGTGAAGTCAAGTCTCTTCCCTGTCCAACCTCCCGCTTATCAAGCCCAGTCTCGGGCTTCCTGCAACTTTTGAATTCCAATGCCAGGTCGAAACGTCGTGCGAATTCCTCATCCCCAGACGTCCGACGGCATGGTATCTTTTTTAAAACGCACGGCCCCAGAGGGCCCGACCCCCCCTCTTTGGCCAGTTTTTCGCCCTGGGCAAATTCTTGATGACCACGGGGCCCGATAACGGGCCCCAGAGGCCGAAATCTGGAAGCAACGCCCAGATTGAAGAAATCGTATCGCTCGAGGTTTGGGCCCGAAGTCCAGAATCCAGCCGAAACGAGCTCAGTCCAAACTTTGTTTAGTTCGCGGGCGCCGGAGTGTGCGAGTCGCTCCAGCGCCGGCCAAGGCGAGCGGTAGGCTGCACCGGAAGCTGATACAGGCACGAAGCGAAAGAGAAAGAAATGGGGAAAAAACAGAGGACGGAGCCCGCCGAGTTCAGTCCAAGCAGGCGGCGGAGAATTCGGCCTCGAGGGCTGCGCGCTGCTCTCGAGCGTCTGGAGGCTCCACGCCAGCAGCGGCTGCACAGACCACGGCGCGCTGCCGGCGGTGGCAACGCAGTACGCGGCCTCGCTGGCGCAGTGCCAGGCCCCGAGGGGCCACAGCAGGTATAGAAGTGGCCACGCTTCGACGATATCGTCACCCTTCTTTTCCTCCCTTGAGATCTAGGCGTTGCGAGTTTTTCACGCCAGGCGTGTTCGCCAGTTTTCGGGCCCCGGGGTCATCAGATATCCATATGGCCCAAAACATGCCGCACAAAGAGGGGGTCTACGGCTCCAGTCGTGATTTTTCGCGATGCTACATTTGTTTCGCAACATTGGATCGCAGGGTCCTCCCTTCCCCGTCGTCGTCGTCCTCTGCCTCCTTCTCCTCCTCCTCCTCCTGCTCCTCCTCCTCTTGCTCCTCCTCCACCTGCTCCTCCTCCTACTCCTACTCCTACGCCTACTCCGATTCTTACTACTCTGATGACTGCAACGGCTACAGCAACTACGTTTACTACTACTTCAACTACTAAAACTATGCATACTACTACGACTACTACTACTACTACTACTACTACTACTACTACTACTACTACTACTACTACTACTACTACTACTATTAGTAGTACTACGACTACTACTACTACTACTACTACTACTACTACTACTATTAGTAGTAGTACTACTACTGCTACTACTACTACTACTACTACGACTACTACTACTACTACACTACTACTACTACTACTACTACTACTACTACTACTACTACTACTACTACTACTACTACTACTACTACTACTACTACTACCACTACTACTACTACTACTACTACTACTACTACTACTACTACTACGACTACTACTCCTACTACTACTACTACTACTACTACTACTACTACGGCTACGATTACGACTATTACTACTACTACTACTACTACTATTACTTTTACTACTACTACTACTACTACTACGACTACTACTACTACTACTACTACTACTACTACTACTTCGACTACGACCACTACTACTACGGCTACTACTATTATTATTACTACTACTACTACTACTACTAGTACTTCTACTACTACTACTACTACCACTACTACTACTACTACTACTACTACTACTACTACTACTACTACTACTACGACTACACCTACTACTCCTACTCCCACTACGACTACTACTACTACTACTACTACTACTACTACGTAT